TTGCATATATAGGTATTACATGTGGATCTTGTTAATTTCGTTATGATATCTTCAATTACTTAATTTTGATGATTATTTTTGTCATTTTTGGTGAAAAGTGATATTTTTTAATTCTTGTTGAAAACAGCAAGATCCGTTGCTTTGATACTATACATATTATTCATTTTCCAATGATATCTTCAGTTCTTTAATTGAAATGTGCATTGCTAACAGCAGAGCCATCTCAGCCGACAGACTGCTTGTTCAATTGCCAGTGACACGAAGTATCAAAACAGAAAATTAAATTAAATAGACTAGCGCTGAAAGAACTACTGTAAGCGATTATTCAAGGCTATTCATCTGCAGACGAGACTGCTTGTAAAAAACGAACCCTGACCTCTGAAAATACCTTATTCATAGAGTGCCTTGTACCGAAGACCGTCGCCCACGGCGACACAATGCACGTTGCGAGATCGCGATCGATGCATGCTGGGTGACAAGGAGAAATTCTGATTGAGGTAACCAAGATGGCTGCGTTGAGTGCTTGATTTTCCGTGGTGTTTAAAAACAACACCTCGCTGCCTACTTCGACCACAGTCCCTCAAGGCACTGTGCTTCGACGTACTTTCTAAAATAATCGTTTATTTTAAATTAAACATATCGTAACATATCGGCAGCGGTAAATACCCATAATTTCCCCGCAATGCTATCAGCTGACAATGTTAAGGTGGTCGTAGTGCTAGCGCCGACTTTAGTTTTGACGCAGTGATAAAGGGACTGTGGTTTTGAGACCCGGGTTTTGAGATGCCTTCGCAGAAAACAATGTTGCCATTAGTGATTTAGTACTTTCATCATATTTTGATAACTCGCTCTCACAGACTTTACAAATGTACCAGTTCTCTCCATGGATAAACATATTTTACTGACTATGCCAAATATATATATAACGCAACCAATTTATCCTAAGAAGCTGCTCATTAAAATTCTAGTGCATTTTGTCCCTGTTCTGTTTCAAACATTAATTCACCATATATATCACAATAGAGAGGGTCTATGGTATCACTTGACTCACAATATAACAAACCATCACATCTGTAATTAATTCCGGATAAATTGACTAATTATTCACAATAACAATTGTATTGACTTGTACCAAAATGTAGGTTGTGGGAAACTAATTTTTATTACCAATCAGAGAAATAAATAAATATAATTTTCATCACACTTATAAATGACATGATGTAAATAGATTTGTGAAACAAATGCAAGTTTGTTTTTTATTAGCATTTACATGACTTGCA